AAATGTACAAAGGCAATCAACTAATTACAGTCCAACATAAAAAAAAAATTCAAAATTGAAGGTAACTAATCTTTGTACTTTGATGTTCATAGAGATGTCCTTGTTGATTCCAATTGACAGTACCCTTGCGAGTCATGAATTAGAATTTCTATAAAGCAAATAATTCAAAACAATATCATAAAAAAATTGCTTTTATTTTTTTTTTAACAAACACCCCAAAAAGGTGGGGTTAAGGCCAGACCCCCAACCTGTATATAAAAGACCCTAAATGTGTAGTCACAGTCTACAGTACCAATGTCCAAAATACATCAACTAAATAATTTTATTCCCAGTTGTCTGAGAACTATAACTCTATTATATTTCTTAACATTGGACTCTTGATTGATAGGTTCAACTATGTAGCAGATCATGGTATTTTATACACTAGTACAAATCCCGTGCATTGCACGGATAAGAGATATTCATTAATATTTGTAAATTAAAAATACTCATTAAATAATATTTTTAAAATTAAAAATATAAAATCAATATGTGATACAATTTACCTATATTAGTTGAAAATATTATAAGAAATATAAATATTACAATTTGCATAAAACATGTCTATTTCAAATTAGTACACGACTCGTACGGTGCACATGATAATAAATTACATTATATTTATTTCAAAAAAGTGTCATTTTAAAAATTTTATTCAAAAATTCGATTTGAATATATTGTAGTTCGATAAAATAACTATTTTGGTGAAATTTTATCATATATTTAAAAATTTATGTGAATAATAAGTATAATATTGAAAGTTATTTTTTTGCATAAACTAAAATAAATTTATTTTCATATAAACTATCCAAATAAAAAATTTAAGTAGTTGATTAATTTATAAAACTATAAATAATTTACTATTCTATTTACATCCAAGTTAATATTAACCGTAAGTTATTAATCATTACTTATTTGCATTTTAAATTTAGAACCCAAATTTGGATTATACAATAAATCCCTTATATATTTTATATATATATATATATATATATATATATATTTTACTCATCTCGAAGTTTCCTATATTTATTGTCGGTTACCTTGTTGTTCGAATTTATCAACTAATTTTTCAGAATTAAATTACAAATTTAAAATTTTATTAACAAATATTTTTTCAAATATCTTTCTAATTTCCAAGAGGAATACATATCAATTTGTTGAATTATCATCAATAACTTATGGCAAGTTATATGAGAATATGTTAAAATTTGAGAATTGTATCACCTTAATTTTATAACAAATCAACCTAAAATTCAACTTTCATACTCATACTAAATAAAATTCATATCATTTATTTTATTTTTATCCATACTAAATGAAATTCATACCATATAAATTCGGACATTTCATACCAAAATAAAAATCGCCCTTTTTTTATTCATCATAATACTCAACTATTATACTATTCTAAGATTTATTGTCATATAATATGTATTAATATATTTTTTTTAAAATTAACCACCCACTTTTATTATATTCAATTATTTTGATATTTCTAACAAACTAAATTTTATATACTTATAGCTTACGCAATAGGAAATTCTATTTACGTTACGTAGTATAAGAACTAAAACGTGACGAATTACGTTATACATATTTTAAAACACTAAAAGCTATACAATTTCAATATGAATGGTCGGTAAGGTGATATTATATTATTATGGGGAAATCCACGTGTCAGGCAGGGTTAAAAAATTCAAAATGTTAAAATTTAAGAAAACTCAATTTCGAACTCCTCAATAAAATCTCACAAAGTCATTGTGGTATAGAAGATTTATTTTTATATAAAAGAACTAATCACTACTACCTTCTCCAATTTTGCAAAACATACCAAATTATTTGGGTCTCTATCAATTAGTTTTGATACTAATAAAATCACAAATGTTTTATGTAAAGAAATATTCCGTGTTGATAATTTTTAAGACCTTGTCTGAGACCCCGCTGCTGATAAAAATAGGTTTCTGATATACCACAATGAATTGTGTCATTTTGTTTTAAATTTTCTAAAAATTCAAACCGTTATTTACGCGGCTTATCCCAAATTTTTTCATAAAAAAAATTACTTATTATAATAAGTATTAGGTGGGATTTTGAAATGTTTTTTAGTTACTATTTTAGATTTATTAGATTGCGTCTCTATATAATAANCTATAATTATATTCTAAACTAATAACATAAAATATAATGAATATTGTATTTAGAGAATTAAAGGATATAAACCAGTTAATTGGTTGAAAAAAAATTATTATTGAAATTATTTATGCAGATTTAAGGGTTTGTTATTCCATTAAACCAATTAGCCATTAAAAAAGTTGCTTAGTAAGAAAAATAAAATGATGATATTAACTTTAAAATAAAAATAAAAAATGAAAAAAAAATTGCTATAATTTTTTTATAAGTGTATAATTTGCATAATTTTTTAATGTGAATTTATAATAGATTAATATTAGTAGTAAATATTATGTGATAAATATGTTAAAAAAACTTATTACAATTAATTAATACAAAAGTGACGGCCAATTTTCATAATTAAATTAAGAGAGTGAAATTTTGTCATAAATTTTTTGTCCCTATATATATAGATAAATAAATAAAAAATATGAATATAAGTTGTAACGTCTTTTTGGAGGGTAATCAAAATATTTTTATTAATGACTTTACTAGCAATTATATATATATAAGCCTCAATTACATCGAGCCTCGAGTCCAAGTGTCTTAACCCCTCCTTGACATGGCCATTCAACGGGTCCGGGCCCGGCCCGGTCCGCCGGTCCACAAAAGCCTGGCCCGGGACCGAACCGGAGATTGCTAAGGGCCGGGTCATCAAATCGGCCCGGTCCCGCCGGTTTATTAAAAAAAAATAAAAAAAATGACTGTTACCCGGCCTCCGGCCCGCGGCCCGGACCAGACCGCCGGGACAAAAAAGAAAAATTGACCAACCGGGGGCGAACCGCGGCCCTTGCGGTCCGGTTTAGACAAGCCCTTACGTGACCAGTTCAGGGCCGGTCCGGAACCGATTTCGGTCCGGGTCGGCCCGTGGCCATGTCTAGCCCCTCCCAGTCAATTACTGATAAAAAAATTCTATTGCAATTTTTTGTTGTCTTCAAACTGTTTATTCTAATATTAACATTTTTTTTCATCTCATTAAGCTATTTTTCCTTAAAATAAGCTTATTAATTTTTTTATTAATTTATTTACCATAATCAAACCCCTTAAAATTACAAATAATAGTAATAATAATATGTCCAATCATTAATTGATCACGATCTTTCAAAATTATAAAAGTTATACTATTTATTGCAATTCATGTTATAAATATATACATTCATATGTATGCAATTTAAATTTATGTTGTTCATTTTTTACTATTTGTTAAAATTCTAAAATATGATAAACTCATTATCTAACCTATAACTTTAAATATTATACACTAGAAACAATGTATAACATTTTGTTTAACCTATAACTTTAAATATTATACACTAGAAAAATGTATAACTTAAAATATTATACACTAGAAAAACGTATAACATGTTTGTATATATGCATGTTCACTACTAATTTTAATTTATATGATTACCACGTTATTCAAACTAATAAATATCATGTTGTTTGATCATAATCGTGCTTGAGTGCATATTTTATTATTTTAATATATAATCACTATATTTTATTATTATATAGTCCTCTGAAATTGAGTTAGATTACAATTTTCCATTGAATATATACCAAACATAAGGATATTATAGTCCATGCAATTCTTTAGACAAAATTCCTTCTTCTATAGTATGGAAATGCTATAGAGCCAACCGTTGATTCCATAGCAGGACTGTTCTATAGTAATAAATAAATAGATATAGATGTGCCACATCAACTAGATGTAATCTCATTTCATGGAGGTGGAGGTGATGCAGATTAGAAACCCAGCCGTCAAAAGTTTGTGCCGAGGGAGAAGGCAAAGGCCATTCTCTTGAGTGTGTGTAAACAACTACATTCTACAGCCTCAAGGAAGTATTTGCAATCCTAAAAAGATAACTATAAAAAGTATTTGTAATGCCAAACACTGCATATAGTTTTTGTGCTCTAGTTTGTGCTTGCCATTTGAAATGATCAATCATCCAAGCCTTCTTTGGTCTCTAACTTGTTCATAATCCAAACAAAAAATAGCAGCACTTTATTTTATTTTTTCAAAACAAGACTGGAGATGAAACAAGGACAGCATAAAATTTAACAGAATCACAAATCAAATACATAAATTGTCACATATTTCACAAATCAGATACACACACTTGGTCCCGAAGAGCAAATTCATAAAAGAACTTACTCCCATTATTTAGACTGCGCAAAAAAAAGCCACCTTACTCGGTAGCTATTGAAGCAGCTGTGGTTCTGTAACACTGATTGAATCCATACCACGTATCTCCAGGTAACATTATATTGTAGTAGAAAGAGACGGGATTTGAGTTATACCCATAGACTGTCACGTCATATGGTATCCACCCGTCATATCCGCTTCTGTACAGATACAAATAGCAAATCTGGTATGTACACGGCCCGTATAGTTGAAACGTGTCAGATGAACACTGCTCAAATGTTCTTGAACGTGGATCGTCTAGTCTTGGTGCGTACACCTGTATAGAATGAAGAGTCAAAGGTCAATTCGCCAAAATCAACGACCTTGTGTGAAAGGATTTTCGGGATTTTTTTGTAGCACAATAGAATTTTATTTTCATTTTTGTGAGACTTACAACAGAAGTAAACATAAATTCTGCTTGGACTTAGATATGGAATATGGCATCTGTTCCACCTAATTTAAGTGGAAATTAAGTTGTAGAATAGTGTTTTAGTAGTTAATCATATATACTGAAAATGGCTGGTCTGAAACAATGCATTAACATAATTTTCTTATTATTTATACCATGATCACTCTAAATATTTTCAGAACCTTGTTTTTATTTTATATATCTTTTGAAATTTCAAACATAACGCAACACTCTAAAATACACATCAATTTCAATAGTCAATACTTGATCTAGATAATTAGTTAGTTGCAAAAACTATGTGTGATTAGGCACACCTCAATACAGATGATCATTGATGGGTTTTTTCTTCATCCCCAACCATACAATTGCTTTTTCTATAAAATACGAGAATCCATAATTCAGCATTCCCCATAAATCACGGCAGAAAACCTGGAGATGTTCACAGGGGATTTTGTGTTTTTTTAGGCAAATCCCTTATTTAGCCAAAGACCCAATTTTTAGGTTTTTTTTTTTCATTAATGATTGGGTAACAAAACAATGAATATATGAGTACTCACAAAAAACCAAAAGCCCTAAATTGCAACTGAGAGCAACTATTTAGCAGTAAAAATAAAAAACCTGATTTCCATAGGCGTCGCCAAAGGAAAGACTAATACGGTCCCGCGTGTATCGAGTGGACGAGCAGCTTGTCCTTATGACCACCGTAAAAGAACATGTTCCAGCATTCTGCTAAAAAAAAAAAAAAATCATAATTTTTCAACCAAAAATAGGAAAAAATTTTGACAAAATTTTTAGAAGGAAAAAAAAAGGAAGATAATATCAGACCTCGGTTGTGTTAATTTTAAGGTTGGATACCGAGTGAGGGCGTGGGCGTGGGATTATCGATCTCGATTGCGAACAAGAGACGGTGAAAGCGAGAATGAACAACAGGTTAAAAAGGGTTCTCGCCATTTTCAACAAAAGCTGACCTTAAACCCTGTTTCTCTACGAGGTTCCAGAGGTAAAATAGTGGTGGTGTAAAATAATTAAAAATTATAATGATTTTGAGGATGAGAAGTTGTGTTGCCTTTTGTTTCTGGTGGTGTCATTGATTTGGGAGCGTGCCACGTCACGTATTCAGTCACGACGTGGACTCATCATTATGTCAATATGGATTATTATAGAATCCTTTTTGCAAATTGAATATAACTAGTACAGAGCCCGTGCAATGCACGTGATGTACCTATTTATCCAGGCTTATAATTATATACATGAATAAAAAAAGATGTACGGAATATATATAGTACGTGACCCGTGCAAAGCACGAGATATATTTATTTAGAGAATATCATATTATAAGATGCAATATTCAATAAAAGTTTATAATACGCAAGAAAATTATACAATGTTCAATAAAAGTTGTATAATATTCAAGTAGAGTCTTAAAGTTTCTTATACATTAAGACTACTGACAAAATAATATTTTAATCAATGAGTTTCCTTTCCTTATAGCCAAATTGTGAATGTGATTTGAGGAGTACAACAAATCGATATATAACTGACTTGTTTTTTTCATTGTAGTTTTTTTTCTTTTTTTTCATAATGAATTTAAAGATATTCTAAAATATAGCAAAAATTAATTTTTTTATTACAATTAGCAACTTTACTAAATATAAACTCTCAATCTATGGTGTTAATCAACGTTTAAGTCTAAAAAATTAGGAATTTTTACCTCTTTTAATCAACGTTTAAGTCTAAAAAACAATAGAGTTATTATAAGTTTTTTTTCTACATCTTTTAAAACATTAAATATGAGCATGTTAGGGCTAGCTTGTAAAATAATTAATATATTATATCACTA